GCAGAATGCAAGGTGAAGACAGCTCTCGGCAGTCGGGCCATGCGGGCCTCTGGTCACTGCTGGATTGCTCTGTCCTCCAAAGCGAGCTGCTCAGATCAACTCAGCAGAGTGACGTACTTTATAAGCTGAGCAAGATGAACGGTGTGTTAAGGCTTTATGGACTTGTTATGACAGCTAATTTCGTACGGCCTGACATAGTATCTGAGCACGTGTAGAGATGTTCATTCCTCTCCACCGCACTGTAGACACTGCACCCTGAGCCCCTCTCCAGGTCACTCATAACGGCTGACAAACACCCTGCTGCCCACAGGAATGAAAGTTGTAAGTCATCGGACTTCAGCCTGAAAAGTGAGAGCGGAGCGCAGGGCCCATGCGTCTTTTTAATGACTGTATGGCAGAAATCGTGCACAGCTTTACTGTGACCACCGAGGAGGGGACTCAAAGGACACCTAATGAATTAGCCATAACTTTGATTTAGGTGACATACGGCCTGACAAATGAGGGACAATAGCCATGCCACGGAGTGTATCGGCCCTCCACGGAGCCACACTTGTGACGCAGGCTGCCTTTGTTTTCTCGTGCTGTGATTCCTTTCAGATACTACAAGGTCAAGTGGCGATCACTGAACACCATGGCGCACAGTGGTGCTCCCAACAGTCTCCCAGGGCATGCAGCCCCCACACAGCCCCCACACACCTCCCCACGGGGCCACCAGTCCCCTTCCCCCTGAGGTCGCTTCCAGGTGGATTCTCGGCAACAGTGCCAATATTCAGTTGATCTTTATTTATGGAATAATATTTATAAAACTTCATCTGATTTTAAGCAGGTGAAAACATAAAACTAATGACAAAATACCAATTTTAAAACTTGTCAGTTTACTAGGAATTAGAATCATCTTGTAGCCCATATATCAGCATTTGGGTGGCTGTTTTAGCTGCTTATAATCTTCCACTTATCATTCCTGATCCTTTGGTTTTGGGGGATGTATTTTTAACACTCTTTAAAATTGCAGGATTTCTAAGCAGATTCATTGCAGCACCAGTCACAGTGCTACCCACATTCAAGCTTAATTATCACACTTTGTAGCTATAGTCAGGTAGATCTGTTTAGTGGGCAACAGGATATGTATCTCACATTGAAGAATCAAATAACAGCAGTCTCTTATATTTCCAGATAAATTTCATGACTGCCTTTTCTATTTCTATGAGTAATGCCATTGGGATTTTGATGGGAATTGCATTAAATCTGTATAGTGCTTTTGGTAGTATGGTCATTTTGATGATATTAATTCTGCCTATCCAGGAACAAGGGAGATCTTTCCATCTTCTAAGATCTTCTTTAATTTCTTAGAGTTCTATAGTTTTCATTATTGAGGTCTTTTATCTCTTTTGTTAAGTTGATTCCCAAGTATTTTATTTTATTTTTTTATGCTATTGAAAGCAAGAAGAGTAAAGCAGGTGGCATCACTATACCAGACCTTAAACTTTACTGCAGAGCAACAGTAGCAAAAACAGCACGGTATTGGCACCAAAATAGACATGTAGACCGATTGTACAGAATAGGGGACACAGAGAATAACCCACAAAATTACAGTTATCTTATATTTGACAAAGCTGCCAAAAACGTACATTGGAGAAAAGATAGACTCTTCAACAAATGGTGCTGGAAAGTTGAATATCCATATGCAACAAAATGAAATTAAACCCCTATCTCTCACCGTGCACAAAACTCAACTCAAAAATGGATCAGGGACCTAGGAATTAAACCAGAAACACTGAATCCTAGAAAAAGTAGGCTTAAATCTTTATCACGTGGGATAGGCTTCAACTTCCCAATAAGATTCCTGTAGTGCAAGAATTCATATCAAGAATCAATAAATGGAATGAGGATTCAAACTAAAAAGCTTCTTCTCAGCAAAAGAAACAATCAGTGAGGTGAATAGAGAGCCTACTAACTGGGATCAAATTCTTACCACATGCACATCAGATAGAGCACTAATCTCTAGAATATATAAAGAAATCTAAAATATTAACACCAAAAAATAAATAAATAAATAACTTAATCAATAAATGGGCCAAGAAATTGAACAGACATTTCTCAGAAGATGATGTACAATCAATCAACAAATATATGAAAAAATGCTCACCATCTCTAGCAATTAGAGAGATGCAAATCTAAACCACTCTAAGATTTCATCTCACTCCAGTCAGAATGGCAGCTATTAAGAATACAAACAACAATAAGTGTCGGTGAGGATGTGGGGAAAAGGCACACTCATACACTGCTGGTGGGACCGCAAATTGGTGCAGCCAATATGGAAAGCAGGATGGAGAATCCTTGGAGAACTGGGACTGGAACCACCATTTGACCCAAATATCCCTCTCCTTGGTCTATACCCAAAGGACTTAAAAACAGCATACTATAGGGACATGGCCGCATCAATGTTTATAACAGCACAATTCACAATAGCTAAACTGTGATGCCAACCTAGATGCCCTTCAGTGGATGAATGGATAAAAAAAAATGTGGCATATATACACAATGGAATATCAGTCAGCATTAAAAGAGAATAAAATCATGACATTTGCAGGTAAATGGATGAAGCTGGAGAATATAATTCTAAGTAAAATCAGTCAATTCCAAAAAAACTAAATGCTGAATGATTTCTCTGATTTAAGGATGCTGATCTATAATATGCTATGCGGGGTAGGGGGGAGATTAAATGAACTCCAGATAGGGCAAAGGGGAGGGAGGGGAAATAGGGGTAGGAAAGATGGTGGAATGTGATGGTCATCATTTCCCTAAGTACATCCAAGAAGATGTGAAAGATGTGACTCTACTTTGTGCACAACCAGAGATATGAAAAATTGTGCTTTATATGTGTAACATGAATTGTAATGCATTCTGCTGTCATAAATAAGAAATCAGAATTGAAAAAATAAGAAGTAAAGAATTAATCAGGGAGAATGAAGACAAAAATAAAAGAAGAAGAGAAACAAACCACAGCAGTATATCCGTCTGCAGTTCCCCGCCAGCTCTTTTCCAGGTCTCATGAAGTTTCCACTACTGGAATGAACGCGACCTCCAGAAAGACTCTGCAACCACCTTCAGTTCTAGACCAAATTCTGTTTAAGGTCCAATACAATGAAAGGACCTGTAGTTTGTTCTAACTTCACCCTATGAGACGCACAGTGGGGATGCTGATGGTGTTAGGAAGAATAGTTTCAGTTATTTTTAAACAGAGTCCTCTGCAAGCATCATCCACACTATGTAAAAACCAGAGACTTCTCTCTAGGTGATGTTCTCACTGACCGGGGAAGGATCGAGTACTAGGACAGGTCACCTGGATAGCAACAGAGCTTTATTTCCTGTTAGTGGGGCTTGTGGAGCAATGGATAGTGTGTCTGTTGAATAAAAATGTTCTCAGATAAATAATTTCAGATATGTCTGTTATCTTGTATCTGAAGCCTTTTTTATGTCAAAATATGTAAACTAGAAGGGACTTCAATCATTAAACTTTGGTAAACCCTGTTTAGCTTCCATGTTCTTCCACAGTGTCGATGGCCCACATTCAGTGGAGTGTGAGCTGTCTGCTTTGGTAGCACCCGGGAGGGATGACTGTGGAGGTAGCATTCACACTCCTGGCTTGTTTGGTTTGTTTGCTTGTTTTGTTAAGGATGGACGTCAAAGAACAGCAACTATACAAAAAAAAAAAAATCTTGAGATGGCAAATGGCATCCAATATACACACTGTTCTACAGACAGCGAGGCGAAAGCAGATGCCCTGTCATCATGGTGTTTCCCTGCAAGCTATAGAAAAACTGCAATAATATAATTCCAGGTAGTTTTAATTGCACTGAAGACAAAGAAAGGTAAGATGACATAGAGACAAAAAGTCTTTTTCATTATTATGTTTAATAGAAGAGTCAGGAGATACTTGTGAAAAAAGAAAAAAAAAAAAAAAAAAAAAAACAATCAAAAAAATTTTAAATGTGAAGAATATTCAGAAGCATCAATATTTAAGAGAGAGTATTTACACAGTAAGTACTAGGGTGGCTTTAACCTTAATTTTGTCCCTAAATAATGGAATAACATTTTAACACCTGTATCAAACATCTTTGCCTTCCTAGGCTTGCTGAAATGTGTGAAAGCACTCTCCTTCCCAATGCAATAAGAAACTACTTCAACTCCAGAAATAGGATAAATGTGTCTAGGAGCTTCACATCACCTCAATTGCATTTCTTTAATATCTTTATGTTTGTTTCTTGCATTCCTGAGGAAATATTTTTATTGGGAAATATGGAGGGGGAAATGATATATTTGTGGCTGAAAATCAATGGAGACACTAAAGTTGACTTTTTTTAATACAGAAGAGCACTGGAGGAAGAGGAGAAAACGTAATTATTGATGCTGATGAAGATGGTGCAGATAGTTGGTGGCGGCAAGATGGTGATACTGCTGCTGGTGCTGCTGGCGCTGCTGGCGCTGCTGGCGCTGCTGGTGTGAGGCTGCTATGGGGATGTGGTGGTACTGGTGCTGGTGCTCGTGATTGAAAGGTCAGCCAAGTTGTTTTAAATGAGACTTAAATGACCCAGTAGCAAAGCAGGATGTGATGTGATAATAAGCACCAGCAAGGCCTGGCTTAAAGTCAAGGGGCCTGCACTCTGGCTCATGCTATGCTACTGAGTAGCCACGTTCTCTGGCCCCTGCCTTGCACTCGCTGAGAATTTGACTTTCTTGGTGTGGGTAAATAGACAGCACAAAGGCATGCCTGCCCCTCACATAGGTCAGTGACAGAAGCTATGACACGTCAGTACATACCACGGAACCCTAATTTCACTCCAGCAAGCAAAGTACACACTACATTGATTGTGATTAATCATCAAAATGAAGCACAGCAAGAACATTTTGTGTTTGGTGGAAGGTGAGGACAAGGTCAAATATAAAGTATCCTAACAGCCCAATTGTTTTCTTTTTCTTTTATCTTTCTTTCTTTTTTGCTATGTAGCTCACAGTTAAAAGGGCTGCCATCAAGACAGGTGGCCCCAGTTATGCGTGAGCATGTCCTCTGGCGCTGCAGCCTGACCCCTGGCGCCATGTGCAGGTGCAGCCCAATTTTTTTCTTAATGCATGCTTGAGGTATACAACATGCTGTTTTGATACACATATATACAGTAAAATGCACTAGTCAGTGCAATTAGCAAACTAAATTACCTTCATCATTGTGTGCATGCATGTGTTAAGAGCACCTTAAATCTACTTTCAGCAGACTTCCAATACAAAAGGCCATGTTGTCAACCCCAGTTTTTATGCTCTGTATTCATCTCCGGACTTACTAGACACTACTCACAGGTGTGACTGGGCAGTACTGTCCTTTCTTGTTCTCACTTCTTCTATTCAGCATAATGTGCTCCAGGTTTACAGGTGTATCCATGTTATGGCAAACAGCAGTATTTCCCTTTTTAAGGCTGAATAATATTCATACACACACGTGTGCCAAAATTCATTAATCCATTTATTGTCTTTGGACACTTAGGATGATTCCATGTCTCTGCTATTATGAATGATGTTGCAATAAAACCCGGGTGCAGATGTCTCTAAGAGGTGCTGGTTCAGTTATTTTGGGGGGGAGGGCATATCCCCAGAAGAGAGACTGCTGGATCATGTGTGGTGGTCCTATGTTTAAAGCATCTTGAGGACCCTCCAGGCTGTTCCACACCACATCTGCCTCAAGTGAATGCCAAAAGTGTACTGATGCCTTCTTTTCTCCACATCCTGACCAACTCTTGCCTCTGCTTTTGGTAAAACCCATGTTAAAATGTGGGAGGTGACAGTTCCTTGTAGTCCTGGTTCACATTTCACTGGATAGTCGTGGTGCCAAGTGTTTTTTCTACATCTGTTGCTCATTTTTAGTTCTTCTCTGGAAAAACATTGATTTAATCCCATTGCTCATTTTAAATCAGGTTATTTGGTAGCTTTGCCTATGAAATTGTATAAATTCCTTATATTTTTGACACAGATCTCTTATTAGGTTTATGATTTGCAAATATTTTGTCCAAATTCTTAGCTGAATTAGAGAATATGCCAACGATATCATACAGCACAGAACGTGGGATTTAGCATGCTGTGCTGTTTGTTCTGATGCTGGCAAGTCCATCCACACAATGCACCGCATCAACAGAAGGAAAGATGAAGGCCCAGGATAATCTCAGTAGATTCTGAAAAGGCATTTCACCAAATGAAACAGTGTTTCATGATGAAAAGTCTCAAAAAATAGATTTGCATAGAAGGAAATAATATGAACATATTATGTTCACTTATGAAAAAATGTCTCACAGCAAACATCATAATAAATGGGAGGAAGTCGACATCTTTTCTTTGATAATCTGGTGCAAGGCCAAGATGCTCATGGATGCCACTTCCTCTTAATAAAGGACTAGAGACACTGGAAAGTGCCAACAAGCAAGACAGAAGAAAACATCTGACCCAGAAAGGAAGAACTGAATTGGTCATGCCTACCTGCACATGACCTTATAGGTAGGAAACTGTGAATGAGCACACACTGGTGCACACACACACACACACACACACACACACTAAACTTAGTAACTCAGTAAAAAAGAGGGATAGAGAATCAACCTATAAAAATAAGTTGAATTTCTTTACACCAGTAGCTGTCTACTGGAAAAAGAAATTGAGAAGTAATCCCAGGGCCTTCATGTCCATATTCATTGAGTTCTTACATGTTAAAAATCTCTACCTGGTCTGTTGCCATTTGAATAACCATGTGGCCCCCATGTACTTTAGAGCCACATGGTTTTTCCTGAGGAGTTGTCTGGGACTGTGACACTGCCTTCCTGAATTGAAAGTTCACCCGAGGATTGAGGATTCCTGCAGTCAGCCCCACCCCTGCTGTCTGACTCGTGACCCCGTGGGTGGTTTGTCTCTGTGTGTCAACCTCATCCTGTTTCCTTCATCCTTCCTGTGGGCCGACTGCCCTGTGCACAGGTCTAGCTCTGACCAACCACAGTCCTCTGTGCTTCCATCCTGAGACACGCCTTCTCCTGCTCAGGCACAGGTTCTGGGACGGCCCCTGGGCTTCCCTTCTGCTCCTTTTTGGTGCTCTCATGGGGAAGGTCAAGTGCGTCCATGGGCCTCGCTCCCCCCAGGGATCCTGACCATCCTTTTCCACCCGATTTTCCCAAGCCCTCCCCTGGGCCTACCTGCACTTCTGGGGCTTTGCCTCTGCGGTGCCGCTGCCAGGACCCTCCCTTTTGGAACCTTTCACTTGGCATTTGCATTACTTTCTGGACTCAGCTCCACCATCCAGGGTTTCCTGCTCAAGCCCCGGCGTCTCCCTGTCTTCACTGTGAGCTCTTATCTGCCAGAATCCAGGGACTCATTCAGTTCTTTCCTTTCCTACCAAAATTACAGGTAGTGGTTTTCTTTTTCATACCTCGGGGGAAAAGATGTTTCTCTTCCTCATCTTTATTCCCCTTTATTTATTTTCTCCTTGCAGTGTTTAAAGGGGATTTTTTTTCCTTCTTTTCTTTTTATTATTTATTTACGAAATCTTGAAAGACCAGCTGTTGACAGGTTGAATATTCAGATAAGCACAGACTGTTGTCAAGGCTAGACAGAAGATGCTCCTGCTCCCTGACAAACCCTCAGTGTCTCCTGTAGGTCAACAGTTTATCGCCACAGACCCTGTAAGTGACAAAGATCAGCCCATGCTGTCTGCTCTTGGCGTCTTCTCCCCTCTCCATGGTTTGAGAGTGGGCAAGTCATTCTGTTCTACGCAGCAGGGACTCAGATCTGGAGGCTCAACACCTCTGGGTGAGCCAAACCAGTACTCTGCCATTGTCATAGCACCCAGGGCCGCGCCTGCGCAGCCTGCACCATCCTGGCTGAACCTGGCAGCCTGTGCACCCACACGCAGGATTCTGGGTGTCTCCTTTCCAATAGGAGCTTGCGTCCTCACTGCTGTTTCTTAAATCCCTTGTTGTGAATCCCCTGTCTTCAAGAGGCTGAAGCTGAAGCAGACCTCGAATCATCTGCTGCTAGGTGACGGAGCTGGAGAGCACATGCTGAGGGGTGAGCCAGAGCTGAAAGGTGAGGGGCTGATGCTGTCTCTCCTATGTGGGAGCTGGAGAGGGAAAGGTGTAAGAAAACAAAGGGGGTCTCATGGAAAAAGAAGGGAGAGCGGCAGAGTAGGGGAGGGTCAGGTGGAGGGGGAGGAAGGGGAGGTCCTGGGGAATAAATTGGATCAGATTATTTTATGTCACCTATGGATATGTCACAATCCACATGTCACCCCGATATTATGTGTAATTATAATACACTAATGGAAACATAAAGAGCAGGTGTGACTGAGGTTGAAGATTTAGTATTTATTAATTTACACCAATACATTTTTAAAAATTTATTTCTAAGCCAACACTGTGGCCCATGCCTGTAATCCCAGAGGCTCTGGAGGCTGAGGCTGGAGGATCATGAGTTCAAAGCCAGCCACAGCAACACAGCAAGGCTCTAAGCAACTCTGCCAGACCCTGTCTCTAGATAAGAAAATACAAAAAAAGGGCTGGGGATGTGTCTCAGTGGTTAAGCCCCTGGGTTCAATCCCGAGTACCCCCCCCAAAAAAAAAATCATATCTATGAACTTCCACCACCCAGAACACAAACACTCAGGTGAATGCCTTCCGCACCTTTTGTTGAAAGGATAAGGCTTTATCCAGCTCCTTTTGCACTTAGCTCAAAAATTAGTGGACGTGTCTGGGTGGCCCTGTTTCTGGGTTTTCTGTTCTGATCTGTTGATTCTATGCCTTTCCCACCTGCCAGTGCCCACAGCTTTAGTGACTGCAGCTGAACGAGTTTCAATATTGAGCAGACTCATTCTTCCATGATTTTTGTTCATCAAAATTAGAACATTTGGTTTCTCTAGGTACTTTCATTTCCCATAGGAAGTTTAGAGTAAGCTTCTCTCTGTCTACCAAAATACTTGCTGTGACATTTTTTATTCCATTAAGCTTACCAATAAATTTAGGGACAACTGACGTCTTGAATGTGCTGACCCTAACGTCTTGGGTGCAGTACTCTGATCTATTGTGTGGTCTGCAGTCTTCGGTGACTTCAGCACTCGGAATCCGTCCATGGTTTGTTAGACTGCACCTGCACATTCCAGGGTGGTTATCTTCCACTACTTCACAAAGGGGAGTCTCCAAGTGGAACTGCACCCAGGTCACTTGGGGAACTGGAAGTAGACAACCAGACGGCATCCCCATTTTCACACACTAGACCACAGCCCCACTCTGCCTCACTCCTGCCCTGGGACAGCATTTCCAGTCAGTAGAGCCCTCTGCAAGGGACGCTGGCCTGAGGCAAGGTGCACAGCAGCAGGCCTGGCTGTCATTGAGGGACAGTGTGTGTCCTGAAGAGAGCTCTGGTGCCCTCCCTCAGGTGGTGACCTCTTCACTTCCCCTCACCTGCAAGCGCAGGACTTCCAGGCAGTGGGCCAGTTCCTATCTCCAGAAACACTCCCTGTGCAATCAGAGGTGCTCAACCAGAGGGACTGGCCTACCCTCCCTGTGAGTGAATGTGCCCAGTCACCAAGGAAGACGCTCTTCCTGCCCCCCCACCCGTGGGGCATCCCGATTTCCAGAGACGTGGAGTGGAGAGGCACACTCGTGTGTGTACGTACGTGTTCTATTGTTTTTGCCCAATGCCTGGGCACTTATTTTTATTCAAATTTCTTTTCCTGCTTTATCATTGCACTGGCTGTAGCCTTTCCTGGTGGACATGAAACTTGACACTCTCAGTACTAATTAGAGATGTCTAATGGGAAAACCACACATTCTACCAGTGTCTGCCACAATAAGCCTTTCTGGTAATTGATGTCTTCCAGTGGGTCACATCTCATTACCCTGGGTAACTTCATAAACTGATCTGACAGGTGATATTGACCACATGATTCGTCAACCTCAGAAGCAGGTTTGGGTGACGGTTGGCAGAAGAACGCTGTGAGTCACGTTAACCTGGGTAAGCAGAACGAAATTTGCATGATTCCCTAAGTAGTTAGATCTTTGATATCTGCACCATGGAGAAGTGCACCCATGG